AATAGAAATCTAATACCCAGTAACAAGCTATCCGACTCACTCATCACTGGTTCCAGATCCTTCAATGATATTTGGGGTGAACACTGACGAAAATACGATATACGATAGTCAAACTTCTAATCAGAGTGAGATATGTGCTCTGTTTAGTAGACTCACGCGAAGAATGAGCCTGTTGCAAGACAACAGATATCCACACCACAAGCATAGACGGAAATATCACATGTGAGCGCATCTCGCCTCTTTCAGTGATGAATCTATCTGGGTATCCGAGGTCACAATATACTAAATAAAGATTCTTTCAAAAGGAAACAATAAGTTATTTTCTAAAGATAAAAAGATGTTCGCCTTTCACCTTTTTATAACAGAATCATCAGAACTTGAAACCTATTTTCGACCGTTGAGCACTGCTACATCACCGACCGATGTTAATCTTCCGGCCGAATTGATCCACTTAAAATACCTCTCCCCACATGATATACTAATTCCAAAACTTACAGCAGTAAGTACTCTCAATTGCTCAAAGTTTGCGTAATTTCATCGACAAAATTTGATCAAATAGATGGACAATCTTTACTCAAAGCTTTACTTTACGCGAAGGACTGTATACTTCAGTATCCAAGTTTATTTATTTATTTGAAACTCCTTTTTTTTGGTCTGCGTGGTCATATCACTGACCTTATGACAGTTTTTCTTCAAGCTTGTGATGTATCTGAACCAAGTATCCGAAGCTGTGAACTCCTTTCTTCATATTCATATGATACGTTTCACCGCACCGAGAGGGATTCAAAGGAATACCTTGAGTATCTATCTTCATTTTTTTTGTAGGATTTTATAACACTTTGTCACTCTTTTCTGAAATCAAAACTTTAAATTCTTCAGTATCGATTCTCGAACGATGGGCGAGTACATCTGTTCCGGTGGCTAAACCTCCGCAAAAGTCCCGAATCTTTCCAGCGCCGATGAGTCCTGTTGTACCAGGTTTCATAAATGCCAAGGTGTCATAAATAACAGAGCGTTCGGACGGGGGGATGTTGACGGAATTATGGCTTTGGGTCCTTCCAAATGATTTGGGAAACGGATAGCAGTTGAATATGTATCATGTTTTCTATAGTAGCTGATAAATAGCACAATATCTTGTAAAGCGAAGTTTGGAGGTGACTTAAAGTGAAGGATGGATGTCAATGATTTTCTTGAGGAGTGCTCCAAGTCGGCCCGACCTTCAAGACTTCAAGGGAAGGAGAGTTGCGCTGGGATATGTGACATCTTACTGTGACAGTGGTGTTACATCTGGTTCACAATTCCTCAGATCAGCTTTCAACAGGCTTGAGTCTTGACCCTGCTCGACCTCAAAAGAAAAAACCACGATTTACCGAACAAATCAAACCATGGCTTCATCGATTTGCAAGGTTTGGTCAAGACCATCGACTTTAAAATCTCATCGAATCTCTCATTCAGGAATCGATTCAATTTTACATTCCAACCCGATTTCAAGATCTAATCCAATGACCCGATATCCAAGATCATCATTTGCAACCGTGATAACCAAAGAAGAAACCCAACCGACCAAACCGATCTCTTCTCATCATCATAAACTAGCCAAGATTGTTAAACCGGGATGATGAGCCGATGTAGATTATCAGAATACTATGATCATCATTTATCAGTGATATGCTTTAT